TAAAAATAACCAAAAACCGCTTGATTCTAAGCAATGTATAGACAAAACTATTTTTATTTATATAGATGTGTTCAATCCGAGCAAAGCTTAGTCTCTGAATACTTGTGATTAAGTGGCTGGAGCAAAAGTCTACGACTTTATTGCAAGTAAGAGTAGGGTCCCAGTTTGAATTAGTCAGGAGATGTGTAAGTACTATACACTTCTCCTCACACTCCACACACTTCCCCACACTCCATTGTATAACTTATGTTGTCATAGACCTATTTTATAAATATGTGATCCAGAGGCAGCTCACTGAAACATCTTTTACTCGTCGGCTTGTCAATGCATTGTGTAAAGCCACTTTCCAACTCATTCTTTTTAATGGACAACAGCCATTGTTGTTTGGTGTAAACGCGCACTAATATTTTTCAATTTTCTTTGTAACAATCACAGGACGATAGCATAGACAAAAATAAATATATAGACCATCAGCCGTACTGCGGTTACCATAGGTTCTGGCGCACACCGCTGGGAGTGCTGTGTAGTTACGTAGCGTGTACGCCATAGCTACATAGCGCTCCCAGCGGTGTGCGCCAGAACGCTCAGAACCAATGATAACTGCAGTAAGGCTGACGGTCTATGTTAAATTTTTTTTGTCTATGACAATAACAACTCAATAAAGTGAAGTTCATAAAATGATTAATAAATATTGCTGAACACCAATGAATGGATTGAACATATCAGATATAAACTCACCAACTCTGCCATTATTTTGTTGTATTTCTGTCACTAAGCTGGGTTGTGTCTCATTTTCTTTACAAAGAAAACCTGAAAGCAGAAGATTGTTTGATAGCGGAGATCAAGTCAGTTTGTAGTGACTAAACAACTAAACCACACCAGTTTTAAGAGAATTTCAGAATGAGCCAAAAATCTATGCTTAGCTAACCACTCAAAACATTCTTAGTGGACCAGGACGTCTGTTAACTTTATTGCTCGAGGGGGGGGGCAGTGATATGCATATGCACCACGCCTGTTGTCAGGCAGTGTCTCATTATAAATCAAATCAACCTTGTTCTGGCAAGTATAAAAGAGGATTTTGGTTTGTTTGTACAGGGTGCGGCAAAAAAAACAATCTATTTTCTGCAGAGCACTGTTCAGCGACAGGTCGTCCGAGAATGGTGGGAGTAGGATTTTTGGAAAGCCTACACAATGCCATTTCTTGTAGTCATAGAGCAGTGGTCGGCTGAGCTAGTGTGGTTGTTATGGAGTTGTTTTTATAAAATAGTGAATTCATTCATTGCTACTCAGCGGCAGTTTCATGCACTATTTCAATTAAGGCGACATGGAGAAGTTCCGTTGCATAGCATAATAATGCGGTGGGTTACTTACTTTAGGACAACGGCTTCTACGTTGAAAAGGAAGCTTACAGGCTGTCCAAAGTCAGATCGGACGCCAGAAAACTAACATTCGATAGAGTTTGTGTTGCTGTGGAAAACAGTCCTCGTAGGCCAGCCCGAAAACAAGCGGCTGCCTTGAACATGTCTGACCACTCAGTTATACGAATTTTGAGGTTAATTTTCATCCCTATGGATTAGAATAATAATCTGTATAATTTGGTAATCATCCATACAGATAATCACGACGGAACCTCTCTATGTCGACCTAATTGAATAAAAGCACGGAACTGCCGCTGAGTTATGACTAAATCATTAATTTTTTTAAACGACGGATAACAACTGTACATAGCTCACACAAACACTGCTCTATGACTAAAAAAATGGCATTGTCCTAGGCTTTCCAACGAGCCTACTCCCACCACCCTCAGACAACCTGTCGCTGAACAGTGTGCTGCAGAAAATGGATCCGTTTTTTGCCACACCCTGTATATTTGTTTGGCAGTAATGGCAGTGATAAATCCAGACACCGCTGGAGAATTTCATGGAGTAGGTTTATACAACATCTATGTCCTGATAACATTCAAGGTTCATTTAGTCCTGGGACTGTCTTAAATCCCATGACAGGGATTTTGAATCAGGGTGTCCACAGAAATTTTGTCATTGATTTCCATGACTCACGAACTTTACTCTAAAATTAACGTACACACACAAGTTTTGGTCGAACTGTATCACTATGTAACCACTAATCCTCATTGTGTTGATTAAAAAGTGTTTAGATATTTAAGGTGTAACACTTCGGTAAAAATATTTCATACTCAACAAAGTCAAGTTTATTTAAATTTTTTTGATTACATAAAGTTATCAAAATACTTAAAACATAACTAGCACAAGATCTTAACAATACACTTTCATATTAAGTTAATAAAAACGTATCCACAAATAATAATAAAAGAGTTAATAAAAAAGTGCCTGCCACAAACCGCCGTAAAAATATAGTATATTAAGAAAACTTTGTTCAAAAAAAGAAAAAAAATGTAAACTATTTGTTTGTTAGCCTTATATTGTATCAATTGGACCTCACCGACAAGTTTTTTAAACTTGGTGAGGCCAAGCTGTTGTAATTTTCATAATAAATATATTTGTATTTGTAATTGTAACCAGAAAGGCTAATTAACATGTAATTCGTCATTACATCATTACATAGAAAAATACAAAATCACGTAATTAAGACCATGTGTAAAACTATATTCTCATATTTCTCACTTTCAAAATGATAACATCATTTATTATTTAGCTCATCTCTCATTTCATTTATCTCTACACATTACAGATTTTCAATAATCATAGTATCAAGAGTTCTAGAAATTTGACATTTTAAATCACACACTTGAAATAAATCTCTTAAAAAATTGTCCAATTTCCTCCATCATATAACACCATCATGTGACTCTTCACAACTACAAAATCATTTAGTTAAGGCACTGTAAGGACACTTCTTCCATTTTATATTTTTCTCAGTAAGGTCATAGTACCCATTTGCTTTAGCCTTGATATTATACAGTTCACAAAATTAAGGCAGTTTGAGGAGAGGCAATCCAATCCCCTCCACATACCATAACTTTGAAGCAACAACTGATATACATTAAGCTAAAAGGGGGGACCCAGTAAACCTTCCCCTTAGTCACAGAAAACGTACTACTATAACTCAGAATGCCAACCGCATGGTAAAAAGCATTAAGCGGTTTGAGAGAGCTTTGCCTGTCAATCCGTAGGTGCGTAGCTATTGCATGGCAACGCTGGTGGCACTGCCTACGGATTGACAGGCAAAGCTCTCTCAAACCGCTTAATGCTTTTTACCATGCGGTTGGCATTCTGGGTTATAGTAGTACGTTTTCTGTGCCTTAGTCCACCTAAATTTTGTGAACGCGACTATAGTACAGCCCAGTTAAACCTAAACCTCAAAATCTAAAGTGAAACCTAAATTTTGACTCCAAACTTTTCAATATAGTCCCCGCATTGTATGGTAAAAAAGATACATAATTTTTGAGCGTCGGGTTTTAAGGGGGGGACGTTAAAGTTAAAAAAGTCAGTAGTTTTTTTCGGTTTCTATGAAATGTTTTGATCTAATTCTTATCGATAACAAAAATTAATTTAAAGTAGATTACACTTTTAATTACATGTATTGATCGCTAAACCAAATAGTTATCGAGGTAAATCATTAAAAAAAGGTACTTTCCTGTTAAAGGGAACATTCATTATTATCGATGATTTTTTCGATATATCGATATTAACAAACTGAAACATATCAGCTGACAACTACGATAAATATTGATCAGTATATGAAACTGTTCTAAAAAAATAACCTAACATAACTAACCAAACTTGCTGTAACATTTAAAAATTCCGTGTTTAACTTGCCTTTTCTATTATCAAACCCAAACGGAAGTTTTAAATGGTACAGCAAGTTTGGTTGGTTATGTTAGGTTAGCTTAGAACAATTTCATTTCTTAATCCATATAGACTATTTTAGCCTAAACAAGATCAGTTAGTTGTTGTTGTCAATTTGTAATAGATCTGATCGGAAAACAAAAATATCGATATATTGAAAAAAATCATCGATAATAATGAATGTTCCCTTTAACAGGAAAGTACCAAAAAAAAAACTATTGCATATTTAACTTTAACCCCCCCCCCCCCCCCCAAACCTACACTCAAAATGGTGTAACTTTTCACTATACAATACAGGGACTACATTGAACAGTTTTGTGTCATAAGTTACCTTTCAATTTAGTATTTGAGTTTAAGCAGATTTTTTGCTAATTCCACCATACTATACGCCTGGCATATGACAAGTTCACAGAGTTAACATTTCAACAACATCCTTAAAATCTTATAAAATACATAACATAATAGATTGGTCAGGTTTTATCATGATTGAACTGGCTTGTAATCTACTCAGTTGAAGAAGGAAAACCTTACATGTCAAATCTTCATACAAAAAACTTATTTTGCTTTACAGCTATTTATAGAAGAAATTTAAAATCTAATTGAAGAAAATGTACTCCTCAGTGAGTGTGTATGGCCCAAGAGTCAAGGTAACAC